AAATTATTTTTAGTTGGCGTCAATACGAATTCATATACAACACGGTTGCGTTTTTAATCACACTACACCCACCTTGAGTATACACGCACGCCAATGACATTTCTCTTCCATTTTTCATCCACTTTTGTCTGCTCGATGTATTAAGGGCTTCAATTATTGTTTCATTTAGTTGACACTTAGTTTCGTGTTTACATGCCAAAAATAATTTATTCAGTTCGGTCACACGTAGGTGCAGGTAAGTATTCAGTTAATTTGTATAATAATAATAATATAATGTATACTGTACCTATATGTAACTAAAGATATGAGTATAATGTATATTATAGGTAGGTACGTACTTATAATGGCACGCTCGTGACATTATCTATTATTTTAGGTAAAACGTAAACGCATAATATACAGTATTATTATATATATGCATAAAATGTAAGTAAATTATGAATATTAAACAGAACCATTGTATAATGCACACAATATTAAACGAGTATTATTGTATTAATTGTAATAATTATAGTAACATAATTTTAATATATACCAAAATAAATTTATTCATTTGAATTTATTCTGTTGGTTTTACGTCGCTGTATAATTAAAAAAAAAAAAAAAAAAAATGGTGTTTAATGATTTTTTGTGGTTCGAGAATTTTTGTAGTGAGGTCAGTTAACCTTGATTCATATTTTTATGTCACATTGAAATGACAACTGCATATTTTTTAACAGGAAGAAATTAGAATTGAAAAATACTGCAACGAGCCTAAATATTTTATTTATTTCTGAAGTAATAAAATAAATCAATTATCACAAAATGATAGATGGATAAGGTAGGTATGTGTTGTGCATATAGAAAATTTCAAAATTACTTTAAATCGAATAAAAACTATAATCATGTTATAATTGGGCGGAGAATGAATACTGACATGAAAAACGAGTTTTATTTATTAACGTAAGAAAAGAAATACGATACGGTGAAAACTCGAAGGAAAGTTGAATTACGAGCCAGGAATAATAATACCAAAAAAAAAAAACTACTAGTCTTACAGAAATGTCTATTACAATAAAAACAGCGATATTTTGAAAGTTTACTAGATAATCGTATAGCACGACGCTTATCCTGGGGATAATATTATCTCATCGAGAGCACGATCGCGATTTCTCGTCATTTATACTGTATTAATTATTGTAAATTATAATATTATGGACATCGCGGCAATACATGTTGCACAATTTGCGCGATTTTTATTACTGTACAAGCAAAGCCGCGTTTAATGGGGGGCAAGGGGGGCAATTGCCCCAGGGCGGCAAATTTTATGATGTTTGACGGAGCGGCAAATTTTGGAGGATCAACATAAAATAAAAAATGTATAATTATCATTTTTTTTGTGTGACTGTATAACTATAATAAGTACATTGTACTGTTAGATTTGCAAACATATTTTCAATTTGACGATTTTTTTTTTGACAGTTAAAATATTATTTTGACAATAAATAGTGTAATAAGAATTATTTGAAAAATTAAATAGGTAACAATATTTTTATATTAATAATGTCAGACAAACGAATTAAATTAAGCAGCGCAGCATACAAAAAGGCGACAAAAGAAAAACTAGAAAAAACCGATAATTTGCTCAGAAAAATTCCAAAACTTCATTCATATTGTACGCTACTGACTGTAATTAATAGTGTGTTGAATATAATTTTGAATTGTAAGTTTTGTAAGGGCGGCATATTTTAATTTGCCCCGGGGCGGCAACATAGCTTAACGCGGCACTGTAGTACAAGTAAATAATATAGACATACGGGTGGATGAAATTTCGGGGAGAGGCAACAACAGGATGTCGGGCTGTGGGTGCGCTGTTGAATTACTACAGTATACTCTTCTTGACGGCGAACGAGGAGACAGATGGACAGACATCGGCGGGACCAAGACCCGCGGAGCGTTTCGGAATTCGGGGCCGGAAGAGAGAATTAAAAAAATGTACGGATGCATACAATATCCTCCACGACAAAATAATAATTAATATCAGTTCGACATCATAACCTAACCGATTTAACCGGGCGGTGAATCTGTATGTGACGACAATAAATAATAATATAATATGGTCATCGAGTGTACACCATGTCGGTGTACAGACCTTGTGATGATGACGTGTCTATTATAGCAGACCGGCAGTTGAGTCGGACGTAGGCTGCGTTCACGACTGGCCGCGGTTTCGCGTGGGATGCATTTATAATCAATATAGTTCTGTGATAATAGAATACACTTGACTTGTAGGTAACTCTGTTACCAACATGACGTAACCTACATAGTATACGCATTGTACACGCGGAACACGAAGCTCATGTGCCCCACACAACGAGTTGTGAACGTGTGTATAGCGAAGTTATTTACGTGGAAAAAAAATGTACGGTGCGCGATAAAACGGTTTTAAACAGATCGAGTTACGGAAAATTATCGTTTAATCGCAATCGAGGAATGATATCAATAAGAAAATTCTCTGATTTTATAACGAAAAAAAAAAAAACAAAAAAATATAAATAGGTTTAGACCATTGTCTTAAAAAAAAACAGCCGCACAAGCGTGTTACGCATTACATCATGACTTGTAGGACTGAGTCGTCGATATCGATTGTAATAACAATATAACATAACTATTTGATAAACACTTAAGAATTTTGAATACTATGCATTATTTGGTATACACGCATCTATACGAATTATATAAGAATATGTGATACTAAAACAAGATTTTCAGTACGGGAGTAGATAATTTATTATAAGGATTAAGGTGGTATAGGTTAATGAAATGAAGAGAAGGAAAAAACGTTAAATATTTTTAACAAATAATGTTTATTTGTACACATAAATTAAACAATGTTTAAACACTAAACATTCAAATAATTTTGTAATACAAAAATAAATAAAACAATATTTTATCGTATATTCGTTTCATAAAAAAAGTTTAAGTCTCTAAAAATGTATATTATATTAAACAATAAATATATTATAATAATGAATTAACGCATCTTCGACTATCGTACTTAAGCCACAAAAATGTTTTAGTTTTTCTTTAAAACAAAAATAATATATGTCGAATTAAAAAATAATAATAAAATAAAATCATATTTTGTACACGTTTTGATAAAATACTAAATCATTTCGTAATATATGGAATGTTTTGTTAATTCATTAACTATAGGTTTATAACTGGTAGTAATAATAGTAATAATAATATCTATTGCTTTTATTTTATTTTTTTAATTGACAATATAAATATATATGAACTACATTTTTTTTTTTTTTTTTTTTTAGAGTGATTTGAGCTCAAAACACAATTATAAATCTATATTATATAATTTAAATAAATCTAGAAATAAATAACATGTCATCCAAGAATCTATATATTGTTTTAATAAATAATAATGTCCTAATAACAAAAATTTCATAGTTTAATATATTGGTAACTAAATTTAATACAAAAAAAAAAATAATAATAATAATAATAATAATAAAATCACAAGTTTGCCCGCCTGATTGGAAAAAAACGACACAGATTTTAAAGTCGACTTTAGTCGGTGTTTCTGTTAATAATATATTTAATTGGTAAAAAAACGATTTTTACGCGAGGCTTTTCTATATTAATATTATTATATAACATAATAATATTAAATTACAATTAAAGATTGATTACAAAAAAATCAAAAACAGTCTAGTAATTATAAAAATTGTATGGATAATAAACTTGTAATAACCCAACGAGATATAATATATAGGTAGGTATATCGGTTTTCCGAAAATCGATCGTATTATGTTATACATACTCTGTAGTTTATAGCAAAGGAAGGACTATTATTTTTTTTTGATATTCGTGAAAAAAAAAAAATCGTCTTTTCGTCGCAGTTGTTATATTGTATTTTAAATTTAGCTATCGATGCACAATTTTATAATAATTATTTTATTTCCGGTTTCACGATCCGTTATATTACACGATATGTAAATGGAATCATATGTGGTTTTACCTATAACGGATCGGAAAGACGTAAAAATATAGGTACCAAGTATACTGCAATGTAAAAATCGTTTAAAAAAAAACACTTAAAAACGTCGTTTGTTCACCGATCCATTAAACGGTATACATAGTGTTACAATTACGTATTTTACACCTACATAATAACAATAATAATAATAATATTAAAAACGTTAATCTAAACACACACACACACACACACACACACCTTCACGGACTTGAAGGCCTCCCCCTATATAAAAATGTGGCTTAAGCGTATCGACATATATTATAGATAAATATAGTACTATAGCGTATTAATGAATTAAATTGTAAGTACAATAACGAGTGCCCAACTATAATTATATAATATATATATATATATATATAATATTATATTATATACGTATCGTACTATTAAATTCTTAAGTCAATTAATAAAAAACTTGAAGGGTTTGTGAGGAGGGATTGACTCGATTGTAAAAAATCGGTATTTGATCTATAGATAAATATATTATAAACGTGTATCGTGGTGTAAACATTATTATATAACTGCAAGAGGGAGGGGATGCTCTGTCACTATCACAGCACGAATAATAATTTAATATAAAAAAATTGGAACTTCACCTACTCTCCGGAATGTGGAAACGCAAAAAGACGGTCTTCGTCAATATTATTTTTGTAATCGTATTTTTTGATGTTTATATATGTATATTATATAAATTTAAAAAAAAGTCATTTTTATTTAGTTAATTATTGTCCAAAATATTTTAGCACCATTATATAATAACACTTTAGAACAGTGTAGTCTAACGCGTTTTTAAAATGGTCTATGCATATTTACATATTATAAAGTTAAAAAGTTATAATGATAAAAATGTAATTTTTATTGTAAAATATTAATAAAAGAGGTACGCGTATGAATAATAAGCTTGCGGATTTTATATTTTGTAATTTCCGAGAATGTTCCGAAGAAAAATTGATGTATAATATTATTATTATTATAATATATATATATATATACGCCGATTTTCTTACATAGTTAATACATAATAAAATGTTATAATTTTTCCTGTCGTTTAGATGGCCATCGGAAGTGGTTTTAGATGCGCTATCGAGCTCATCCTTCTCACTTGTCTGACCGGGCCTTTGCCTACTCCGGTCAAGTTGCGTTCGATGTCCTCGAGACTCTTGCCCTGGGTCTCGGGTACGCAAAATATGATGAATACCAGACCCATCAGACATATGCCTCCAAACATCCAAAAGGTGCCGTCTGTGCCGAAGACCCGCAATAAGTCGGAGAACGTCTTGGTGACTACGAATGTGCAAGCCCAGTTGAAAGCCGTTGCCAATGAAGCAGCAGTGCCCCGGATTTTGGCTAAAATTAGAACATGGTTTGATTGGTTAGATCATTATATACACATAAACATTATAATATAATATCGCGTTCATGCTTCATCGAGTTATTATTATTAATTTTTCATATTTACCTGGCAAAATTTCACCCATCATCAGCCATGGAATTGGCCCGAAGCCAATAGCAAACCCGATGATGAAAAATACGAAACTGACCAAAGGCAACCATCCGTACTGAGACACGTCGTAACCACTGTTTTTGTAGTTGAAAAATGTTCCGAGAGTAATGAGCGTGATCGCCATCGTAGCGCTGGACGCGTATAGTAAGATCTTGCGACCGAGCTTGTCGATGAGACCGGTTGCAATGAAAGTAGACATGAAATTGACGATACCCACAATGATGGTGCATAAGTTTTCGTCGATGGTGCTTCCCGCTTCCTAAATAATAACAATAAAAACAATTAGTCAACATTTTTTTGGACGTGATAAATTAAAATCTTTCTTTAATTTTTTTCATAACGAATTAAATGTCAAAATATTTATATAATATTTACCTTAAAAATTTTGACGGTGTAAAAAATGACAGCATTGATTCCGCTAAGCTGTTGGAACAACATGAGTCCCATAGATATAAGCAAGGGTTTCGAGTACATCTTGGAGAATAAACTTAGATATCCGGGCATTTCTTCGTTTTTGCCCATGTGATTAGCTTTTTCGATCTCACTGAATTCTTGTGTTACGTCCGCGTCCTTTCCCCGCAGCCACTGAAGAGCTTTCTTCGCTTTCTTGCTTTTGTCTGTACACACAAATAGAACAAGGTTATTTAAGTATACGATTTTAGTTTAAGAAAAATCACATTTAGAATAACTTACTTCTGCTTATGTACCATTGCGGGGTTTCGGGGATGAGGAACATGCACACCAAAAACGGTATAGGGATACAAGCACCGAGGATAGCAAGCATCTGCCAATTAAGGTATTTGCCAGCAATAAAACACAACAAAATTCCGCTGTTGCCGAGGGTGGTGGGCAAAAGACCCAACGTTCCCCTGACTTGAGGTTGTACTGTTTCTCCTAAGTATACGGGAAGACCTAATGAAGCCACTCCTACACAAAATCCGGCTATAGCCCGACCAGCCATTACCATTTGCACGTTAACAGCCATCGCTATCAGAATAAAGGCTGAAAATAAAAAAAAATTCAATAAACGTTAACATTACTATAAGATGGGAGTATTAAATAAGATATTTGTTTTATATTGTATAATAAAGAGGAAATTGACAAGTACACAGATTAAGATGTGCATTAGTAATATGCACATAAATCAAAAACTAGGTTAATACTGATGAAAAAAAAAAAAAAAAAACACAAGTAGGTACTAGACCTAGACCTAAATACCATATTCATTACGAAATAAATTTTTTCGATTATCGAATTTAAGCAGAGTTTATTACTGTTTAGTGTTTACTTACAAATAATAAAAGGTATCCCGGTAGCAAGTATCGTGGTTTTTCTACCGATGGATTCGATAAGGGGCCCGCCGGCCATGCCACCGATTAGTGCTGCCAGTGGCATAAGACTGCCGATCCATGAACCCTGTAATACAAATTTGAGCAATTAATATATTAGTAACACGCATTTCAGATATCGACGAAAATGGGTACTTACTTCTTCTTCGGATACAGTCAGCGGACTGCCCGGTCTGTTCATAGACGGTAAGGCTGGTGATGTGTAGGCGGACGCGAATCCAACTACCATTGAGCATAATGATACTGTTAACGAAGCAAGGATCTGTATGAACAAACGAGTAATATTTACAAGTTAGACCAAGTCAAAAATATTGAATTTGTTATAAGGCATAAAACTACGTCAAACGAATGACTAAAAATTACTATGCCTACTATAAGCTCTAAAAATCATAAACACATCGTGCAAATATGTTTGTATTTCGTTTTATCAGTTTTCCAAACATTTTGTAATATGCAAATATGTCTAGCCGTTATTTACTATTTAGTCCTTTCTCAAATAAATACGGGCGTCCCCTTCCCACATCCCCAATGACAATATACTTTATCATCGATAAATTATCAATCGTAATGGATTAACTCTGGATATTTTCAATCATATTTTTAAGTAGGTACGTATTATTTTCATTTGCACTAAATCACATAACTATATTATCTCTCGTTGTGAATTCAATGATTATATATTATTATATACCTGTGTATATTTTCAAGTACAAAAACGTTCAAGTATACATAAAAAAAAAAAAAAAAAATAATAAACGTACACAAATAATGTAACGTTTATTTTTACAATACGTGTAGATTACGTATCGTTTTAAATAGTAAAACGTCGATAGACAAGGTTATTGTGTGGTGGATGAAAATATTCGTTGCAAATATAGAGCTCTAGCTGCTGGCTATAGCGATAGCACTGCTTGCAGATTTCGTTATACAAAATACGTTTCGAAGCTTTTTTACTGATGAATTATACACACACACACACACACGCACATACACACACATATATATATTAAAACATAATATAAAATGACAGGTATACGAAAAATATAAAATCTTATTATCAAACGAATGATAATCAAATAATATGATATAATGGTGTATTCTTAGAATGTGTTTTCGATGATAGTCGAATGGGGCGTGCTTATTACAGTCTTTTGTGTAGGCATACATAGAAAATAGAACGGACCAAATCGCGGCGTTTTAATGGCGAATTAGTTGGGTGTTCGTGAACAACGACGGGTCTGACTTAGCTGATATTTCGAGGTCTTGGCCGATGTTCTGGATCTCTCGGACTATTAGGATTCATGTATTATTGTTGTCGCTATGTCTGTAATAATATAACCTCGCGTCTTTCACTAGCCAGCGCAAGACAATCGGACTTTGATTTGAAGAGCGGAAAACACTATATGACATTAAAGTGCTTCGTATATATTCTATAATAATAATGGCCAGACCAATCCGGGTGCCGGAAGCTCAAAACACTATGGAATTTACGATGGACGGCCTTGCAGTTATTAGGTACTGCAATAATCGTAAAAGTGTACGGCTACAGAGCAGGAGTTCCACGCGTGTTAGCCCTCTGAATTCGTGATCATGGCAGATCACCGAATCGAGTGTGCTCGGGAGACTCTCAACAATAGGTGTCAGATAAAACGTATCGTTAGAATAGTATTATTAAAGTCGTATTATACTGGCCTCGGTATTGGCTTCGAGTCAAAACACGAATTGTTCTTTTAGTTTTAGGCGCAAAAAATCTACCGTACACGAGCATATAGAATTATATAGGTATAGCTAGTTGGAAAATATGAATAAAAGGATACTCTTAAAACGTTTTAATTAATTCGTTAAAATAAAATAATACAATGGCAAGTTATTCAAAACGCGTGCGATATGGTTTAATACCATGTTACTTTATACAAGGCGCGTTATACTTATTAAATTCTTTACCGACATAAAAATGTTTATGATCTTCGACCGTCAATAAAGAATTTTACTCATCTCTTGTATAATATTATACCTATACCGTCGAAACGATCGTTTTTATTTTTTTCCGCTATACGAGCTTATAAAGTAATATAATATTATTTTTTATTGTATTCATATATATATAAATATATATACATATAAAGAGAGAGAGAAAGAGAGAGAGATTATCTTTTTCGAATGAGCCGTGGATCAGTTGTTATTTTAAAATTAAAACATAAACATTCGTATACCAAAATATAAGTTCTACGTACGCCTGGATTATATTAAAAGCATATTGATGTTTATTCAAAAATCGAAAAAATCGAAATCGAAGTCTATTTAATGATAAATCAAACTTTGTTGTTGTTCATGTGCATACAGTAAAGATATTCGCCTCTTTACATTTACTCGGCGTGAAACGAACACAGAATGTAGAAGAATAGCCATACGCATATTATAATGATACCTATATCAAATGTTTTACTGAAACACCCATATGGAGATTTTGACATTAAGCCGCCGATTATGTTTGTTTTCGTTGAGTGTTAATGATGGCCAGAAGGATAACTATATGTATACCTGCTCCTAAAATATAATACTATATTGTTTTCGACGAATGAAACCGATACGATAATATTTTCATTAGTCTCACACTTATGCACGCGTGGACCTATACATTAATTAAATTTTCCCTTTCATCAAAGTTTGTTTTTGCATTGTTGACGTCCACTCTAAGTCTATAATACTTACATAACATAATATTATGTCGTACCTGTAGGTGGGTGTATTATTGCGGTTGGCATTCATAACGTATACTCTTTTGGCTAAAGAGTACGTACGATGTACCTACATTTAATTTAAACACATAATATATATTATTCTACATAGGACGTTATTGAAACCAATTGTATTCAACTGTGATTCCTAAACCGCCCTTCGACACGTCTCCTCTGAAGGTCTCGACGATGCCAAAACGACTTTTATTGAAGATAGATCATGACGATATATTCGGTCGTGCGCGTGCATGTAATTGTAATATATATCTCAATCGTTGGGTTATGATGATGAACGCGTTAATTAATTAATAATAATTAACAATTCGATCGATAGCGTATGCACACCGAGAGGATTTATCGACCTCGATGCGTACGATGGCGACTACGAAATAATAAATATAACGAATCGTAAAATAAAAAAAAAAACGTAAAGAAAAATGCTCATTTGGATCTCGAGCCTCTGCGAAATACGGTTCAAATGTATGGAAGCTTCAGGTGTTATAAATAAATATATTACAATTCATAACAGGTACACATATAGTTTTGCTGGCATTGAATTGTTATTGTGATGGTCAGCGGCGGTGATGAAAAGAACCGAATGACGAACTAATACGTCGTTTCGGACTTGGGGGCGTCCATTATTGTAATAATGGATATTGTAGAATTTACGATATAATGAAACGGACGCGCAAAATCCACCGAAGACGTCATACTTGAACATTATAGAACGTATCCACAAAGGTGTAAACACATGAAAATCAAATTCACTCCGTCCACGCTCGGCCGTGTCCGACTATAATAATATTGCGATTGCGATGTGTGACGAGGTATAGCCGAGACTTTAGAGACATTCGTTAGACAATTGTTTATAATATTTTGTTCGTTATAGAAGAGAGTTTTTCGTATGTCATTATTGTTTATATAATAAAAATTGTGGGCGTCGGGAATCCGTTTTTTTTTTGTTTTTACCGGAACAATACTGATTGCGAACGAAACGAATAACGACGGGTGAAAAATAGTATCGCAAACATAACGCGCATATAGTATATAAGACACATATTTTATATTATAAACTCGTACACAGGTAGGTATTAGCTAAAATATAAGTTTGAACTAGTGCGACGCTGTCACAATAGAATAATTAAATCGGTCAAATTTCCGCAACATATAGGTAGGTAGTTGTTGTCTAACGTATAGTGAATATTCATAAAAAAACTGATCGAAAAACAGTGTGGTAGGGTGGAAATTTGAGAGGGATGAAGCGTATTGGAGACGGTTCAATTTTTCGAATGATCGATTTGAATCGTTAAAAAAACAATACTTATTCGAGCGATACGATTATAAATTTTAAATTATTTCCATATTACATTATGAGTGTACACTATAGGTACCTATTTGACATCACGTCGCGTATCTTGGTCCATCAACACTACTTTAACTAGGTACTTGTTATTGAGTCTAGCTCGACGCGGTTATTAAATTTAACTCGGTTAACAATTTTAAAAATAAACAGCACATAACAAAGTAGTTAGATTCGGCTTTGTCTCTGTTTTTCATGCGACACGTCCGACATTTTAAACATACGATACGTGATAAAAAAAATAAAAAAAACTGAATGAATGAATCGTATTATATTATGTAGAGACAGGTAACTAACTTTGGGCAACATTAAATTCAAATACCTATCTATATCTTAATAATCTACACTTTACTTCAGACTTATATTAATCTCTACGGCAAATGATGTATGATTTTGAATTGAAAAAAAAACGGAAAATTTCCTCGGGAATAACTCTTCATCGCCCTGATCGGTACCTATACTGCCGACAGTTCCGTTTTCACGCGACCGCGGGATACGCGTCGCGCACGCTGCAGGGTGTACCGGCATCGACCAAAAAAGGTATGAACTCACCCTCTACCAGCTGAGTAAACCCACCGCCGTTATTCGGTCACACTGCTGCGGGAAAGCGCATTACGAATCGCGTAAATATATTTTACACGATCCCCTGCACAGCGTCGAAAACAACAGTACGAAACCGACGAGGGGGCAGAGATACGAATATAATATATATTTTAGTATAGCACACACGTTGGCTGTATTATACACGCTATTTATATATATACACATATACATATAAGTTGTAAGTATGCGAACTAGTACGGAGAAAATCGTAGTTCGTACATTTATAGGACCCGCGGCGAAGAGCTTTAAAATTTCCGATACATATATCATACACGTTTGTTGTGGTTGCTGTCCTATAGCACTAACTGCGGCCTATCCGAAAATTTAATAAAATTTAAAGTTTACGTTATAAGTATTCCGCCAATACAAAGTATAAATTTTCCTACTCTAAAACAATATATTACGTAGCAAAAATATATTTGTTTTTGTCAATTTATTAACGATAATAATATATATTATAAATTTTATTTTATTGTATAACGACCACGTAGTTAAGATATTTTTGGTCTAATATTTTCCAAATCGCATGAGACATAATTAAGCATAATATCATTAAAAACG